CGGACTGCATACGAGAGAGAGAGAGAGAGAGAGAGAGAGAGGATTTATATAATTAGGGTTTTGGAAAATTAATTAAAAATAATAGTCATCACGAAATAAATTAAATAATTATGTGAAAATTATCTACACATTAAAACGTACTAGTTGTAGTAATACAACCGATAATACGCAATAGTAGAAATAATACCACAAATTGTACAATTAAACGAGATTAATTAATAAAAATATAATTTCTTATATTTAAAATCAAATAATTATGGAATAATTTTATACACAGTAAAACGTACTAGTTAAACTAATACGACAGATAATATGTAACAGTAGAAATAATACAAGAAATTATACAAATAATACGTAATTAATAATACACCGTATTATACAAAAATATACGTAATAATAATAATAATACCACGTATTATTCAAAATGACATGTAACAACATCGATAACGCAACTGATAAATTTCATAAATTTTCACCGCATAAAATTAATTTATAAATATTAATATCATTTAAATAATATAAAACTTAGACTTTAAATCATAGAAAATTGTAGAAATTCAAGAAAAATACAAATACTCTTTTAAAAATTATAATTAAATATTTTAAAATACTAAAAAATTATTTTAACTAGTATCAAAAATTCATGGTCCTTACAAGATATTTGGAGGCCTCTCGCCAATCTAATCTACAAGTTGCAAAAAGAATTATGTGGTATCTAAATGGGACTTGTGATCATGGTTTGTTTTATTATTCATCTAACAATTTTGATGTTGTAGGCTATTCTGATAGTGATTGGAGTGGAGATCATGATGATCGTAAAAGTACTTCTGGCTATGTTTTCAATTTTGGCACCACCGCATTTTTATGGTCGTCGAAGAAGCAGTCTATTGTTGCACTCTCAACTTGTGAAGCGGAGTATGTAGGAGCTGCATCAAGTGTTTGTCAAGCAATTTGGTTGCGTAATGTGCTAAGTCAGATTCATATTCAAGTTGAATGTCCTATAAAGATTTATGTTGACAACAAGTCCACAATTGATTTGGCAAAGAATCCAGTCACTCATGGAAGGAGCAAACATATTCATACTCGTTGCCATTTTTTACGAGACAATGTTGAGAAGAATGAAATCGCGTTGATTTATTGTAAGTCTGAAGATCAAGTTGCGGACATCCTCACGAAACCTTTGAAGTTTGAAGTTGAAGCGCATGATGGGAATGAAGACCTTACATAATTATGATTAAAGGAGGATGTTGAAGTTAATCCTAATTCTAAAAGGATTTGATTTAGTTATCTCTAGAAATTATAGTCATATTAGAATTCTATAATGAAACACTTTGTAAAGCCTTTAAATAGGCATTCATGCATCCTTCTACCTAAGAGAAAAAAGTGGGGGAAAAAGACTGTCTGAGTACTGTAGCAATAGTAACCGAGAGTTAAAAACAACTTTTTTATTTACTTCTCCCACTATATTTCTCATCGCATATATTATACTTCTATTTACTTTGCCGTTGATTGCTCCAACATTTGGGAGCGTGAATTTGCAAACATGATAGATTTGAGGACTATACGTGCAAAAGTTCCAAACTATAAATATGCTAAAAATTAGGAGGGTTTGATAACTCGGGAGTCAAACGAGTGAGATTTTTCTCTCTTTTGACACATTATCCAAAATGACTCATATAAGATCGGGAGCTTATCAGACCCCACTTGTGCTACGATACAATGAGAGACACTAGTAGAGCTTTCTTTTATTTGTAAAAATCCAATTTTTCCAAGCCACGAGCTTTGATCCCTCACAAGTCCCAATCAGAGAAAAATAGCCAAACCCTCCTCTTCCTCTGAGCGTCAACAATCTATCCACAGATTGCAGCAGCTCCTGATGATTTTAACCTCAAACCAAGGTTCCCCACGAATCAAAGAGAGGAAAACAAGAAAGAAAGAAAACAATGGCAGCTGTTGCTGCAGCAATCTCTCCAAACTCTGCATTTAAGCAGAACTCCCCCTCATTTTCGAGTGCAAGCAATCAATTTGTCGGTGGATTCTCAAAAAAATTCAATTTTGATCAGAAATTTGGAGGAAGAAAGAGGGATTTGGTGCCTTTGGTGGTTGCTTCTGCAAGTGAGAGTAGTCTCAGGAGTGGAGATGGGAGGTTTTACTTCAATTTCACGGGATTTCCTTTCCCACTTGGGCCATTTCTTAACAGGCAAACAATAAGAACTGAGGTGGGTGAGATTTCTTCCTTCATTTTTTGTAAAATTTGTAATTTTTTATGGGTCATTGTTATTTTGTGGTTATCTTTGAACCTAATTTACACTTGGAAGCGTCGCTTTATACCATGAGTTAGATTACTTTGTTTGTCATTTTAGCATTTGGTAACATTTTTCATCTTGAAGTTATAAAGGCCTTGTGCTTACTTTGCTTAAGTTGCCCATCAGTAGTTTCACAAGTTTATTCTCTTTGTTTTTCATTGTTCTCTTATGTGTTTGCGTTCTCATGTATGGTAAATCATAACAGCTGAACACGGATTGATGCATATGCTTGCAGATAATTCCTATTCCTTGTGGAATATTTCTGCATTCAACATTAAATTAGGACTTTATTTAGAGGAAATGGGAATGTAAAATTCGTAGGTGCGGCTTAAAGGCTGAGAAAAAGGTACTCTAAAATGTTTATTGTAAGGATCTCTCTATTGCACATTTATGTGTGTGTGTGTGTATGCATGCGTGCGTGGGTGCATTGGGGTAGTTTGTATATAGAATTATGCCAAGCTATGTTCAACAATTGCATATTACAGTTCACATTAGTTGTCATCTTGATCATGTTTCTGTTTACATATTTACCTTACACATGTGGTTCGTGTGTGCGTGCGCGCACACAATAGCGTAGCCAGGATTATTTTTTGCCCTGAGCGAAAAATAAAGGGATTGTGTCGAGCAAGAGGAAGTAGAGGAGGCCGATGTTGGCGATTGTGTCGAGCACCGTCAGCCTGCGTTTGGGGAACACATTGTCGAGAAATCTGTGGCTACGGCCGAGGGCTGATGGGCCCAGCAAGATCCCTCCCTGCACTCTCTCTCAGGGAGGGATATATATTTTTACTTTCTTGCCCTAGGCAGCTGCCCAGGGCAAGCCTTGTGTGGCTCCGCCACTGCACGCACATCTGTGTGTGGTTGCACGTGTATGCATGCACGCACGTGCGTGCATGTGTGTTTTGATACTTTGTATAGAATGATGCCAAACTATGTTCGACAAATTGCATCTTAAAATTCACGTTAGTTGTCGTCTTGATCATCTTTTTGCTTAACAAATTTACCTTAAGCATGTGGTTCATGTGCTACCATAATGACTATGATGCAAAATGAAACTTGTAGTCCTGAAGATCGAGATGATATTTCTTCAATTTTCCATTTGATTTGAGACTCTCTCTCTGTCTAGAATGCACATATGTTTACAATTCCGATAACTTGACTTCTTTCTCATATGATATTCTGTTATAAGGCGGTCAAAGATAGCATATGGCTCTTTGAGCAAGAGCAAGCTTTGGGATTCAGCAGTGTCTCAACAAATATCCGGATGACAGTTGTTAAACTAAAATCTGGAGGGTTATGGGTCCATGCACCTATTGCACCAACAAAAGAATGCATTCAGGTTACTCTGATGCCCTATTCTACTTTATCCACATTTATTCTTGTAAAATTTCAGAAATGTGACAATTAAATGAAAATCTTTTATTTGCTACATGGTCCTATCTGCAAAATCACATTGATATCTGAAATGTATTCGCAAATGTAAACTAACTTTTTCCCTTAAGCTCAAAGTGTTACTTAACAAGTTAAACAAATAAATGAGTTTACTTATTGTCATGTCTTTGGTGATTAATTTTGCATCTTGTAATGCGTGAAACGAAACAGCTTATAAAGGAGTTGGATGCTCCCGTTGAACACATTGTTCTCCCTACATTTGCATATGAACATAAAATCTTCGTTGGGCCATTTTCAAGGAAATTCCCACGAGCGCAGATTTGGGTAGCCCCAAGGCAGTGGAGTTGGCCAATCAATTTGCCTCTTGAGTTCTTTGGAATTTTTCGTTCGAAAGCTCTAAGGAATGAGGATGATTCCACTCCATGGGCCAATGAGATTGAACAAAAAGTTCTGAGTTCACCAGAAGTTGGTAAGATCTTAAACTTTGTTATTCTTAATAGAGTAAATTTCACATAACACCCAAAACTTTGCGGCTCTTCCCACAAAACCCCTGTGAATTTTTTTGCCCCATAAAACCCAAGAACTTTCCCACAAAACCCCAAAACCTCCCCACAAAACCCCAAAACTCCAAAGATTCTCCAATCCTCCAAAGCTTCAAAGCTTTTAACTTTTCCCACGAAACCCCCCAAATAGAGAAGAAAAGAAGATGAGCCCCGGAGAAAACAAGGAAAATAAAGAACTGGACAGATAATAAGGTCCTCCAATTGCAATAGATACTTTTGGGGGTTTTTGTGGGAAAAGTTAGAAGTTTTGGGGGTTGGTGGAGATACTTTGATGCGTTGAGGTTTTTTTGGGAATTGTTCTGGGGTTTCAAATTTTTCTTCTATAAGAAAGAGTTATTGATTACTTGAATTTAAGCACTTCATATTACTTCCACAGGGATTGGACCATATGTGGAAGTGGCATTTTATCATAAACGTTCTCGAACATTGTTAGTAACCGATGCTGTAATATTTGTTCCGAGGCAGCCACCGGAATGCATTAGTAAAGAATCATTATTAGCTTCTGCAAAGAATGGTCTAGCAGTGAAAATCCTCAGCAAAGGAAAGGAAGTCCCTGAGGAGCCTGTAGTCGACAATAAAATGAACCGTCAAAAAGGTACATTCTTCCTTAAATCTGTTTCAGCCATTTCATACCATATCTATCGTCAAAAAGGTATAATTTGATAGACTATTTCCATTGCTTCTAGTCACATTTTTTATGTGTTTAAGATTTTCATAACCAGGTGGTTTTCTGTTGGTTCAGCACGAACAGTGGGTCATGAACAAGTGGATCTTTTTTGTATGTGCTTATATGACTGTTTATGTGTTGTTTGCATATATGCCCTCCGAAATTCAGCTTTTTGTTCAATTCAACCTAAACTTATAATTGGATCCCCTTAAAAAATACTGATATTGCTTCTGTAACTTTTGAAAGTATTGGAATTGCATTTAATACCCATGACATGCGTAGCAATGCAGCTGCTAGTCAAAAATGGACAAGCACTAGTGCACTACCTGTTGGGCGTGGAAGCCACTTGTTGTGCGCCGAGGAACCAAACCAAACACCGAGAGAGAATGCAACTCAAATCAAACAATAATGACACAAACTCAAACACAAAGTTTAACGTGGTTCGGCAAATTGCCTACGTCCACGGGGCAAGAATGAGAGGGGTTTTCACTATAGAGAAAGAGAGTACAAAATAGAGATTACAAGATCACTCAAACTAACATCTCAAATATAACCCTCAAATCTCTCACAAAACCTACAAACAATTTGCTCAGAACAGAACTCTCTTTTCTGTGCTCAAAACTCTCCTTCAAGCTACCCCAAAAGTGATTAATATGATCCAATAAATTCTAAACAAATCGTGTTCCTATTTATATAAAACAGGAAACCCAAACAGTGTAGGAAACCAAGCCCAGACCCAAAACTGCATCACGGTTGACCGCTGCGTCAGTCGTGGTCGACCGTGACAAACGACAGAAATAAAAAATGCACTACAGGGTCTCGCGGTCGACCGCCACGCTACTCGCGGTCGACCGCCACGCTACTCGCGGTCGACCGCAAAAAGTCCAGAGACTTTTTCAGGCTGCGTGCAGCGCCACTCGCGATCGACCGGCCAGAACTCAAACCTGTCCTTCGCTATTTCCTGAACTTTGTTGTTTCCTCTTCAATTCTCGACTTCGGTGAAGTTTTCCCAAAAGTGAGCCGATAACAACCAACCAAAATATCTCATTTGTTGCGTCCAATACGAAGTGAAACAAAATCACAATAACGGACTCAATCCACAACAAGTCGAGACTCAAATGAGAATGTGATCACTCTCCAAACATCGGGGTATCTACTCATCAAATCGGTTGCATCAAAAAATGACTGCCTACGTATCCTTTTGCCTAAGGAATCAAGCCTTCACGTAGTTCCCCAATAAACCTACAAATGCCCTCAATCAAATAGAAAAGTTCTCAACTCTTCACCAACAAATATACGGTTGATAGCTCTCCAAATGGCCCCAAAGTGAAACAAATCAAACACCTCCACCTGAGGTGAACCAATGGCTTTATCCAAATTATATCCACCAGTTACATTTGAATCAACCAACTCATCATCTGTATCCAAATCCAAATGATCCCCTAACTGTGTCACCTCAGCTGGAATCTCAAACGATGCAGTATGATCTGGAGTATGTGGAGTAATCTTCACCCAATGTAGAGTAGCATCACTCTCCACCCGCTGTGATATATCTATGGTCTGTCCAAAACTCTCCACCTGTTGAGAGTCAATTAGCTCCCTCATCGAAGCCTCAACCGAAGTGATACTACCAGACCAAACATCCAATGGAGTTTTACCTCAAATCGCAGCAGTCGACAACCTATGACCAAGATGACCCAAATATGTCGAAGCCTCAACACCAAAATCAATGCTCGACATCAAACTTCGGTCCTCCTCCAGCAAGGAACAACTCACCAAATCTGTCATCTCATCTCGTTGTCCTAAGATTTTCTTTCCACCGAAGTGTCTCAAAATACCGTGAGCTCGACTCAAATACAGAAACAAATCCCTCTTGTACCTCTCACCAAAAACAGAATGAAGTACCTTCACCTTTCTGCCAATATCACACTTCTTCAATCTATTGGAGACTACTAGGACCTTATCCAATCAGAATTTGGTTGTAATCCAAGCATGCCTAGAACAACCACCAACAAAGAAAAAACATCTATTACCTCGCAATGATGCCTTTTTGGAAGGCCCCCAAATACCCACATGAACTCCATCGAAAAGATCATTCATGCGGTGCATAGAGGTGCCAAACTTCACCTCGGTCTTCTTGCTCACATCAAAATGTTCACCGGACTTCAAACTGCAGGTCGATGCACCCTTTTCCAAATCAATACTGGAATGACCAAATCTCAAATGTTGCAGTCTAGTCGAATCAATAGAAGTCGTCAGCTCTTCACCTGTCACCATATTCCCAATCAAATAGTATAAGTTATTTTTCTTGAAGCCCTTCATCAAAATACGAAAGTCTTCCACAATCTCGAGAATCATGTCCTCGATACGAACTCTAAAACCCTCTCCAACCAAAGCACCAATCGAGATCAAGTTCTTTCTCAGAGAAGGAACATATCTCATACCATGTAACTCTCTAACTATCTCGTCATACATATTGATGCGAATTCTTTCTATCCCAAAGATCTGACATGCACGATTGTCACCCATGTACACCACACCACTCTCCAGCTTCTCAAAACTGACGAGCCATTCCCTTCTACGGCACACATGATAGGTTGCACCACTACCAACATCTACTCGGATTCCTCCGAATAGCAACCTGTGGGACTAATAGAAAGCGAATAAACAGATGAGTCAGAAAGATTATCATCCGATATAATGATGTTCGCTTCTGATGATGAATTCTTCCCTTTTCTCTTCTGCTTATTCTTCATCCAAGCATTGGGCTTTGGACAATCTTTCTTCTAATAACCAGTCTCTTTACACCAAGCACACTAATCTTTACCAACTGTAGGATGCCCTACTCTGGACTGTGACTTCTCATTCTTTCGGTTTGGATTCTTTCCTCTTGCGATCAATGCATCTGCTGTTGTGTCACTTGTAGACTCTTTATCTTTCTTTCGAAGCTGATAATTCACAACTGCAACGGTGATCTCACTATACGAAAGGAACGTCTTCCCATTAATTAGGGTAAGAACAAAGGTCTCATATTCCTCATCTGATAAGGAACTCAACAATAACAAAGTTTTGTCCTCATCCTTTATCATAACATCCACATTTGCTAAATCCGCAAAAGCTTCGTGTAGTGGTTCATGTGATCACTGATGGAGGTTTTCTTTTTCAATTAGAAGCGATAAAACCTCCTCTTCAAATGCAAGCGATTTTCCACACTCTTGATCATATACTTGCTCTCAAGTGTCTCCAAAATCTTCTTAGCCGAAGTCTCATTCATCACATCACTCTTGATCATATACTTGCTCTCAAGTGTCTCCAAAATCTTCTTAGCCGAAGTCTCATTCATCACATCATACTTTAAATCTTGAGTCAAACAAGATCTAATTACACCACACGTCGTTCTGTTCATCTTCTTCCAAACATTCTCATCAATAGCATCTGGCTTAGATCTAATTACACCACACGTCGTTCTGTTCATCTTCTTCCAAACATTCTCATCAATAGCATCTGGCTTACCATCCAATTTCAAAGTATTTTTTAAATTTTGCGCGTTCAGCGCATTCAAAACCTCACATCTTCATAATCCAAAATTGTTCGTGCTATTAAACTTCTTCATATCTATCTTCGTAGAGTGGATATTCAAATTTTGAATGGTCTTCACGCCAGAAACACCACCCTCAACACCCGAAGTACCTTCTTTCCCAGTCATCTTCCTCAACACACCAAAAACAAATGCGGAACAAACTGAAGAATAGATCCAAAACTAAGAAAAGATAGAATTTTTACCAAAAAGATCCCACTTTTAACTCCAAACGAAGCCCTAGTCGAATTTTTAAAGTGATCTACCCCTCCAAATAGCCCAAGCATAGCCCGAGTTCTGATACCACCTGTTGGGCGTGGAAGCCACTTGTTGTGCGTCGAGGAACCAAACTAAACACCGAGAGAGAAGGCAACTCAAATCAAACAATAACGACACAAACTCAAACACAAAGTTTAACGTGGTTCTGCAAATTGCCTACGTCTACGGGGCAAGAAGGGGAGGAGTTTTTACTATAGAGAAAGAGAGTACAAAATAAAGATTACAAGATTACTCAAACTAATCTCTCAAACAAAACCCCTAAATCTTTCACAAAACTCACAAACAATTTGCTCAGAAAAGAATTCTCTTTTCTGTGCTCAAAACTCTCCTTCAAGCTACCCCAAAAGTGATTAATATGATCCAATAAATCCTAAACAAATCATGTTCCTATTTATATAAAACATGAAACCCAAACAGTGTAGGAAACCAAGCCCAGACCCAAAACCGCATCACGGTTGACCGCCGCGTCAGTCGCGGTCGATCGTGACAAACGACAGAAATAAAAAATATACTACAGGGTCTCGCGGTCGACCGTCACGTCACTCGCGGTCGACCGCAAAAAGTTCAGAGATTTTTCCAGGCTACGTGCACGTTCGCGGTCGACCGCAGCGCCACTCGCGATCGACCGGCCAGAACTCAAACCTGTCCTTCGCTATTTCCTGAACTTTGTTGTTTCCTCTTCAATTCTCCACTTCGGTGAAGTTTTCCCAAAAGTGAGCCGATAACAACCAACCAAAATATCTCATTTGTTGCGTCCAGTACGAAGTGAAACAAAATCACAATAACGGACTCAATCCATAACAAGTCGAGACTCAAATGAGAATGTGATCACTCTCCAAACGTCGGTATCTACTCATCAAATCGGTTGCATAAAAAAATGACTGCCTACGTATCCTTTTGCATAAGGAATCAAGCATTCACGTAGTTCCCCAAATAACCTCCAAATGCCCTCAATCAAATAAAAAAGTTCTCAACTCTTCACCAACAAATATACGGTTGATAGCTCTCCAAATGGCCCCAAAGTGAAACAAATCAAACACCTCCACCTGAGGTGAACCAATGGCTTTATATCATATCCACCAGTTACATTTGAATCAACCAACTCATCATCTGCACCCAAATCCAAATGATCCCCTAACTATGTCACCTCAGCTGGAATCTCAAACGATACAGTATGATCTGGAGTATGTGGAGTAATCTCCATCCAATGTAGAGTAGCATCACTCTCCACCCGCTGTGATATATCTATGGTCTGTCCAAAACTCTCCACCTGCCAATGTAGAGTAGCATCACTCTCCACCCGCTGTGATATATCTATGGTCTGTCCAAAACTCTCCACCTGTTGAGAGTCAATTAGCTCCCTCATCGAAGCCTCAACCGAAATGATACTACCAGACCAAACATCCAATGGAGTTTTACCTCAAATCACAGCAGTCGACAACCTATGACCAAGATGACCCAAATATGTCGAAGCCTCAACACCAAAATCAATGCTCGACATCAAACTTCGGTCCTCCTCCAGCAAGGAACAACTCACCAAATCTGTCATCTCATCTCGTTGTCCTAAGATTTTCTTTCCACCGAAGTGTCTCAAAATACAGTGAGCTCGACTCAAATACAGAAACAGATCCCTCTTGTACCTCCCACCAAAAACAAAATGAAGTACCTTCACCTTTCTGCCAATATCACACTTCTTCAATCTATTGGAGACTACTAGGACCTTATCCAATCAGAATTTGGTTGCAATCCAAGCATGCCTAGAACAACCACCAACAAAGAAAAAACATCTATTACCTCGCAATGATGCCTTCTTGGAAGGCCCCCAAATACCCACATGAACTCCATCGAAAAGATCATTCATGCGGTGCATAGAGGTGCCAAACTTCACCTCGGTCTTCTTGCTCACATCAAAATGTTCACCGGACTTCAAACTGCAGGTCGATGCACCCTTTTCCAAATCAATATTGGAATGATCAAATCTCAAATGTCGCAGTCTAGTCGAATCAATAGAAGTCGCCAGCTCTTCACCTGTCACCGTATTCCCAATCAAATAGTATAAGTTATTTTTCTTGACGCCCTTCATCAAAATACGAAAGTCTTCCACAATCTCGAGAATCATGTCCTCGATACGAACTCTAAAACCCTCTCCAACCAAAGCACCAATCGAGATCAAGTTTTTTCTCAGAGAAGGAACATATCTCATACCATGTAACTCTCTAACTATCTCGTCATACATATTGATGCGAATTCTTTCTATCCCAAAGATCTGACATGCACGGTTGTCACCCATATACACCACACCACTCTCCAGCTTCTCAAAACTGGCGAACCATTTCCTTCTACGGCACACATGATAGGTCGCACCACTACCAACATCTACTCGAATTCCTCCGAATAGCAACCTGTGGGACTGATAGAAAGCGAATAAACAGATGAGTCAGAAAGATTATCATCCGATATAATGATGTTCGCTTCTGATGATGAATTCTTCCCTTTTCTCTTCTGCTTGTTCTTCATCCAAGCATTAAGCTTTGGACAATCTTTCTTCTAATAACCAGTCTCTTTACACCAAGCACACTAATCTTTACCAACTGTAGGATGCCCTACTCTGGACTGTGACTTCTCATTCTTTCGGTTTGGATTCTTTCCTCTTGCGATCAATGCATCTGCTGTTGTGTCACTTGTAGACTCTTTATCTTTCTTTCGAAGCTGATAATTCACAAGTGTAGCGGTGACCTCACTATACGAAAGGAACGTCTTCCCATTAATTAGGGTAAGAACAAAGGTCTCATATTTCTCATCTGATAAGGAACTCAACAATAACAAAGTTTTGTCCTCATCCTTTATCATAACATCCACATTTGCTAAATCCGCAAAAGCTTCGTGTAGTGGTTCATGTGATCACTGATGGAGGTTTCCTTTTTCAATTAGAAGCGATAAAACCTCCTCTTCAAATACAAGCGATTTTCCATACTCTTGATCATATACTTGCTCTCAAGTGTCTCCAAAATCTTCTTAGCCGAAGTCTCATTCATCACATCATACTTTAAATCTTGAGTCAAACAAGATCTAATTACACCACACGTCGTTCTGTTCATCTTCTTCCAAACATTCTCATCAATAGCATCTGGCTTGCCATCCAATTTCAAAGTATTTTTTAAATTTTACGCGTTCAGCGCATTCAAAACCTCACATCTTCATAATCCAAAATTGTTCGTGCCATTAAACTTCTTCATATCTATCTTCGTAGAGTGGATATTCAAATTTTGAATGGTCTTCACGTCAGAAGCACCACCCTCAACACCCGAAGTACCTTCTTTCCCAGTCATCTTCCTCAACACACCAAAAACAAATGCGGAACAAACTGAAGAATAGATCCAAAACTGAGAAAAGATAGAATTTTTACCAAAAAGATACCACTTTTAACTCCAAACGAAGCCCTAGTCGAATTTTTAAAGTGATCTACTCCTCCAAATAGCCCAAGCATAGCCCGAGTTCTGATACCACCTGTTGGGCGTGGAAGCCACTTGTTGTGCCCTCCAAATAGCCCAAGCATAGCCCGAGTTCTGATACCACCTGTTGGGCGTGGAAGCCACTTGTTGTGCGTCGAGGAACCAAACTAAACACCGAGAGAGAAGGCAACTCAAATCAAACAATAACGACACAAACTCAAACACAAAGTTTAACGTGGTTCGGCAAATTGCCTACGTCTACGGGACAAGAAGGGGAGGAGTTTTTACTATAGAGAAAGAGAGTACAAAATAAAGATTACAAGATTACTCAAACTAAACTCTCAAACAAAACCCCTAAATCTTTCACAAAACTCACAAACAATTTGCTCAGAAAAGAACTTTCTTTTCTGTGCTCAAAACTCTCCTTCAAGCTACCTTAAAAGTGATCAATATGATCTAATAAATCCTAAACAAATCGTGTTCCTATTTATATAAAACAGGAAACCCAAACAGTGTAGGAAACCAAGCCCAGGCCTGAAACCGCATCGCGGTTGACCGCCGTGGCAGTTGCGGTCGACCGTGACAAACGACGGAAACAAAAAATGCACTACAGGGTCTCGCGGTCAACCGTCCCGCCACTCGCGGTCGACCACAAAAAGTCCAGAGACTTTTCCAGGTTACGTGCACGTTCGCGGTCGACCACAGTGCCACTCGCGGTCGACCGACCAGAATTCAAACCTGTCCTTCGCTATTTCCTGAACTTTGTTGTTTCCTCTTCACTACCAACTAAATATCTTTGTAACTCTTTGTAGGTATCATAAGTTATATACTAGAGAGTGGAAGTGAATTCTTAAATTTTGAAGAAGAAATTTGTAAGATCCAGATGATTGCACGAATTTCAATAGGGTTAATCTACAACTAGACTATGCACAACGGAAATTAGCATAAACCCTAGCTTGCATTTAGTAAACATAAACAAGTTTAGGGTTACTGATTAGCAATGCAGCCGTACACCCATGCAACAGACTTCTAGATATCACCACTTTTTTTTTATCACTTTTCTTCTTCTCTTTCTTTCCATGCAAAACGCATGCATTATATATTCATAATTATTGTGTATTAATCAAATTCCAATTCCTGTGATCAATTGTTTACAGGGTGGGAGAGGATGGTTCTCCAAATACTGTTCCTGGGTCCATCAAATTTGCTGGAGCCCACCGCCAGTTTTGATCAGATGTCAAGAAAGTTGATTGTTTCACCTATCGTCAAGACACTGGTTTTCAGCAAAGTCCCTGAAAAGGTGGGTGCCACTTGTCATCAAATTTCAATACTTCATTGTTTCTTTCCTGCATACCATATATTTCATTAAATATTACTGTATCAAACTTAGCATTGTGTAGTACCTATTATCTGGTCAAATCTCTCCTCTGAAATATGTAGCTGTTTGGGTTATGACCTAAACTAGTAACTTGGAATGCAGTGAGTTTTGGGGGGAAAAAGGAAAACTAATGGCCCATTCAAGAATAAAATGCTCTCCTTTTTAACATGTACTGTTGGATTTAATCTAATAAATCTATTTGTGGGCACATATGATTAATCAATGTGTATTGCTATCTTTCAGGATAACCCACTAAAGTGATCAATTAAGTTGGGTTAATTTGGTATTTAAATAAGTCATGAGGTTATATGTGCAGATACCAGGTTGTAATTGTAATTTATTGAGGGGCTAAATTACAAAAGTACAACATCTATAAATAAGGGGTTATGGTCCCTAACCTAGGGTAACATTCTCTAATTCTCTTCACCCCCATCTAAGAGAGATTCAGTTTTTTAGAGGAACCCTAAGGTTAGAAGATCATCAAAAACCCAAATCAAAAGATTTCATCCATGGATTCAGGTATAAGCTTCCGCTCTTTTAATTATTGTTAATCTCTTTGAATTAATCATGGCTATATGGTTTTAGATCTTAAGTTTTGGTATAGATCTAACAAGTGGTATCAGAGATACCTTGATTAATTCTTAGGGATTTAAGTTTTATTGGGTTTTTGATCTTAAATCTCTGGTTAAAGATTCAATTTTTGGATTCGGATGAACAGTAATGTTCTCGGATGAACAGTAACGAAAATTTTTTCGGATGAACAGTAAAGTATTTTTTTTCCGGATGAACAGTAATTGGATTTTTCTTTGATTTTTTTCCTTCAATTTTTTCCAATTCTGGATCTGTTTTGAAAATAAAAATCAAAGGTTTTTTGTGTTTGACGGCGGCGGTTTCAGTTTGAAACCCTAAGGGTTCATGGCGAAAATCAAGGAGGTGGTTACCTCAAACGAACCTCGCGTTCGTTCAATTTTAACCGAGCTTCGCGCTCAACGAACCTCGCGTTCGTTCTAAGGTGTCAACTCAGGTGAGCGTCAAGCTCAATTTCAACGAACCTCGCGTTCGTTCTAAGGTGAACCTCGCGTTCAACTCAGGTGAGCGTCAAGCTCAATTTTTAACGAACCTCGCGTTCGTTCTTCAGACGAACCTCGCGTTCGTACTTCAGACGAACCTCGCGTTCGTACTTCAGACGAACCTCGCGTTCGTACTTCAGACGAACCTCGCGTTCGTACTTCAGACGAACCTCGCGTTCGTACTTCAGACGAACCTCGCGTTCGTACTTCAGACGAACCTCGCGTTCGTACTTCAGTTGAACCTCGCGTTCATTATTTAAACGAACCTCGCGTTCGTTCCCAAGTTGAACCTCGCGTTCTTTTATCAAACAAACCTCGCGTTCGTTCATTTTCAGACGAACCTCGCGTTCGTGCTTAAGTGAGTCTCGTACTCAATACAGTCGAACCTCGCGTTCGAAGTTAAGGGAACTTCGTGTTCATTATGGTTAAGCCTCGGCTTTTTATGGGTCCACTTTGGTATACTTAATTTATTCAATTAAGTTATGGGCCCTAATTAAGCTGTGAGACCCCAATTAAGTTTTTGGAAATTCAGTTGATTTAAATTTTTTAATTTAAATCTAATTCGGTTTTTAATCAATTATTTAATTCAAATATTATGACACTAAGGTATTAAGGTTGTCTCTCACTCCAATTGATTAATTGAAACAAGAAGTTGCCAAAGTAACCTCTCTTGTGTAGATTGTTCATGAGGAATGTGAGATGTTTGTGTGTATGCTTTCGTGTAAATATTTAATCGGCCCAAAGGAAGGTTAATATTTATTTAGACTGTATACACATCTGCGATGATAAGCGTGTGACAATTATAAGGTTTACATGTGAATAATGAATCGATCCAAAGATAGTTTCATTATTTGACATGAGTTATTGTCAATGTTTGATCATTGCAACAAGGTATCACTTACAAGTTAATATTACTGTCCAAAGACTTGATATTAATGTTGTGCCGGTATCTTGGATGGGGATTGTCATTATTTGAATTTTATTGATTATGGTTATTGATGTGAGCATTCTTTTGTTTTATTTCAGCTAATGCATCTGCTGCAACAATTTCTGCTAACATCAACTCAATTCCCATGCTAAATGGGACAAACTTCAAGGTTTGGAAAGAGAACATATTAATTGTTCTTGGCTGCATGGATCTTGACTATGCATTAAGAACTGAACAACCCCAACCTCTCAATGCGGATAGCACTCCTGATGCAAAGAAGGAGCATGAGAAGTGGGAGCGTTCAAATCGCATGAGTCTTATGATCATTAAGCGCGGCGTTCCGGAAGCCTTCAGGGGCATAGAATCCGAAGGGATTACTAAGGCTAAAGATTTCCTTGCCGAAATTGAGAAGCGTTTTGCGAAAAACGATAAGGTAGAAACAAGCACGCTTTTAGCTCGCTTGATTTCAATGAAGTATAAGGGCAAAGGAAATATCAGGGAGTACATTATGGAAATGTCTCATATTGCTTCAAAGCTTAAGGCACTTAAACTCGATCTTTGTGACGAGTTATTAGTGCATCTGGTTTTGTTGTCTCTTCCTGCACAGTTTAACCAATTTAAGGTCAGTTATAACTGTCAAAAGGAGAAATGGACTCTAAATGAGCTCATTTCATACTGTGTGCAAGAAGAAGACAGGTTGAAGCAAGATAAGACAGAAAGTGCTCATTTGGCCTATGCCTCTAAGGATAAGGGCAAGAAAAGGAAGAATGATAAGGAAGCTGCTAAGGGTCCAGTTGAGAAGAAACAACATAAGGATAATCAGGGTTGTTTCTTCTGTAAGAAGCCTGGACATGTAAAGAAGGACTGTACAAAATATCACGCCTGGCGTGATAATAAGGGTACGTTCCTTGCTTTGGTCTGTTCTGAGGTTAATTTAGCTTCAGTACCTAGAAACACTTGGTGGTTAGACTCTGGTGCTACTACTCACATAAGTGTTTCTATGCAGGGTTGCCTGAGCTACCGAAAGCCAAGTGATGTTGAAAGACACATCTTTGTGGGCGACGGACAATCGGTAGATGTGGAAGCAATTGGATACTAGCCCGACTCAAACGGTAGTCGATAAAGGCTAATCAAATCCGTTGAAGGCTGGGGATTAGCCTAAAATCCTAAAGTCAACGCCTAACACGCGTCGCCGGGTAGTCTATTCCCGTGAGAAAGACGAAGCCTACGTATTCAATATCGTAGCACTAAGAGCGTTAACTCTCTTAGCTCGACGTCACATAGGAGCGTACTTAAACAATCCGCATGCTAGCCCGACTCAAACGGTAGTCGGTAAAGGCTAATCAAATCCGTTGAAGGCTGGGGATTAGCCAAAAATCCTAAAGTCAACGCCTAACACGCGTCGCCGGGTAGTCTATTCCCGTGAGAAAGACGAAGTCTACGTATTCAATATCGTAGCACTAAGAGCGTTAACTCTCTTAGCACGACGTCATATGCGGAACGGATTTAGATAATCCGCATACTAGCCCGACTCAAACGGTAGTCGGTAAAGGCTCATCAAATCCGTTGATGGCTGAGGATTTGCCAAAAATTCTCTAACTGCGAGTCATTGACGCATCAACTCCCCCAGTTGGTCTCGTGACTCGAGCACCCAACAAATTCGGGACAAAATCCACACATGCAGATGAATCAACTTTAACAGTTGGTCCTGCAGCCCCGACACTTGGGACCACCGTGCTCCAATACCTTAAGAGCTTAAACTGTGTGTACTCCAGCAAACGTACGAGTATAAAATGTGTTAATGGCGATCCGTAAACAGTCAACGCGTTGCAATCAAAGTCAACGTTCGACGATTCAAAACCCTAGGTGGACGCCGGTCAACGCGTAACCCTAGGTCAACGCCAGTCAACGCGTTGCAACCGAAGTCAACGTTCGACGATTCGAAACCCTAGGGTCAACGCCGGTCAACGCGTAACCCTAGGTCAACGCCAGTCAACGCGTTACAACCAAAGTCAACGTTCGACGATTTAAAACCCTAGGGTGGACACCGGTCAACGCGTAACCCTAGGTCAACGTCGATCAACGCGTTGCGACAAAAAGCCAACACACGGGGATCCGAAACCATAAGCCAGCACAATGTGGCGGAGGTAGTTCAAAGTCAACTCAATGACACGAGCCAAACTCAATTCATCAGCTGCACACTCGAGACTCCGACGACGGCCAAGCGATAAACGCAGCGCCGGAAGAACCTCGGCTATTCGTCAAAGCATCGAATAGATCGAAAATCGAAAGAGTCAAGAATTGAAGCTAATTACGCAAACTAAAGGCCAGATCAATCACATCCAAAGTATTCCAGCCTCTTCTATAAAAGAAACGAGTCAGGAACACTTTGGAGGGGGTATCTGTAGGCATCAAAAATTGCCTATAGTTCTCCACAACCGGTTCAGTGTTAACGAGCGACGATGAACGTCACCATCCAATCCACATGAGCCTAATCGACGTCGACAAACGACCGAAGTGAATCGACGAGTTACGTGAGCGGATAGGACTTCGGAATCACGAAGACCCGGACCAATCGGGAAGCCCGGCACTGTTCACAAAAAGGACAACGCCCTTCATGCCTCGACCACTCTACAGATAATCCAATCACCAGAGCGGGTCAAACTCTTCGTCGCGCATCCAACGCACCCGGAATCACTCAAATCCGAATCCGGACGAAGAATATACAGGGGAACCAACAAAACACCTAAACGGAGTCTCGGCAAGCTCGAAACACCCGAGGGGGAGACACCCCAAGGGTGTCTCGGCCATGGCCGAGACACCAAGGGGTGTCCACACCCCTTGATGGTCCCCTAGCCCCCCTCTTGGCCTATAAATAGACCCCTTGGGTCCTCTTTCAAAGGGCTGGATTTATTTTGTCTTGGAGCAAGGCTAGAGAGAGAAAGGAGAGGATTTTTAGAAAGCACAGGCGAAGCCCTGCCGGAGCGAGGAGTGAGCGAGCCGTCTACAGCAAAGGAGGAGTCTTTTTCTTCTTTCCCCGTCTCTTTTCCTTAGTGTTGCCCCTTAGCGGTGATACTAAGCAGAGCGAATATCTCGATTATCCGAGATAGGAGCTGTAAACTTCTAGATCTCACGCAGATCGACGAAGTTCTGCTTCTA